TCCCTCAGTAAGCTAACGGGAAACTCAATACCACACACTCCTGATTACTTATTTGACGAGCTAAACTTGACTGCGGGATAAGCTGTATCTTTCTAGACAATGCAATGACACATCTGAGTAGCAAGACGAAAGACTTCTTCAAACACTCTAACTCTCTGTAAAAGAACATCCATTTCCCTCTGAAGTACAGACACAAACTTTTCAGTTACCTATTGGTGCCAATACACGCTCAGAAAGAGATACAGATAAGCAACAGAATCCTTATTCAAAATGAGCTCAGGCCTTATGCTACTGAAAATTGTGTTGCACTTGTACCAAAGTATACATTTTTCACATCTAAATCAACTTAAACTAAAAATATCCAAATCAATGTTTATGTTCAGTTGCATTACCTTACATAGCTAAAATTAAACTACACAAGCATTCCTTCAGGTTTTGAATGAAATCAAAAATGCAGGTTAATTATTGCTTATGGACTCCTAAATTCAGTCTGCATTCACTGGCAGAAGTTAATATGAAATGCCAAGAGCCTGACAGTGACCACTGAATTCAAATATATGTCAGCAAAGAGGAACTGAATTTCAGCCAACAACGCTCTCAGTCCGCGTAGCCTTACAGCTGTACCAAAGGAGATCTGACCTCTAAGCTTCTGCTTTTTATTCAACAACCTCCCTCTTTTTTTTTTTTTTTCAGCTGTTGTTATCTTGAAGTAAGAGCTGTAGTTACAACTTCGCAAGCACAGTCCCGCTCCTGGCAATTCCTGCTTGTGTGGACGCGGTTGCACGGTCAGGGCTCTCGGGAAGGGTGGACAATTTTGGCACCGTTCTACCCCATGTCAGTCAAGAGCAGACCCTTCTGCTTTCTACACTTTTTTTTTTTTTCCCCCTCAGCATTCTTAATGATATTATATTTAAATATGCAAGCTTGACCTTTTATTCTACTGAATATCATGAAAGCAGATCTTTCTCTTCACCTCATTTTTTGGCAAGTAAAACTGAGAAAATAAAGACCTAGGAAATACACAGAGGTAAACAAATTGCTTGTAACAACGATAACAAGGTCTGATCTTATATAAAGCTCTAAATTTAAGCAACCCTGTAACAATTAAATTTTTAAAACTCCACACTTTATCAAAAAACATACAAACAGATGGAAATACTCTTTAGATAATTTTTTACAGCAGATTTCTTGTCAGTTTTCATTCTTTGATATCAGCTTTTTTATACTGTACCATAGCAAGATCACAGCAGTGCTAACTGTACAACAGCACCACTCCAACTCTGAAAACTTTACATTTAAATTAACTCCCTAGGCCTTCTGAATTAAGGGACACAAGATCAACTACAACATTAACCTACACCTAGTTTGTGCAGCTTGTTCAGCCTTCCTAGAAAACATGATTTTATTACAAACACTGGCCTGGTTATGAGCAACCAACTTAAGGGGCTGGGACGAAGGAGTAACGTGTGTTGCTCATCTGAGGCCTGTCCTGCAAAGCACTCTGCCACCATGCGCTGGTACAGACTGCAGCCCCAGTCGCCTAACACTTCGATCTCACTGAAATTAAGGTACGGACAGGACCTACAGCAAAACTGCTTAAGCAGCACAGAAGGCCTTGTCGACTGAATGCTGTGAAAAGTTCTGTGGGGACACGAGGCAGTTGCACACTTCAAACTTTGTATTTGTGATACAGGAAGTGTGCTGCAACACGCCTGCTCTCAAAAACACCACCGGGGCATCTCTCATGTTTCTAATAAACATTTCAGAATACAGTAAACTGACAACCATCTGTAAAAAAAAAAAAATATATATATATATATAAAGTCATGCCAGTTTTGCTTCAGTGATCCTGAAGGGCAATAATTACATACATTGTACTAAGATGGTCACAGAATATATTAGAAAAGATTACGCTCCACTGGCAGAATCCTCCGAAATAGCGGCTGGGGGAATAAAAGGACCATAGGCAGTACTACAGTAAGACAGAAAATCCCATTTACATTTATGAAAGGAGAGCAAAGTTCAGATATTCTGTTTCAGGTAGCACACAGACTACTACCACAGGTCAAACAGTCTCCTAGACAAAGATCTTGACAGGTGACTGAAGGAGGAAGACATTTTCATATGCTTTTAATTTCTAACTTTTAAGTCAGGTCAAAACATATATCCTAACGCTCATTAGTTAACCTGAAAATTTAGGAAGCACAGAATACGTACTCTAAGAAAATGTATAGCAAGTATATAAACACGTTGCATTGGTCTCAGAAGAGAATGATGGTGTGGCCTGTTAGTCAGAGGTTGCTCTTCACCACTCTAAACCTCGTTCTGCCAACAAAAACAAGTGAAGCCAACTTTCTAAGAACAGAGAAGAACCAGTGAAAAAATCTGTAGTAAGCAGCTTTCTTGTATTCTGATTCAAATGACAAAAACAAGAATGAATTATGATCTGGTAAAAAATGAAAAGGAAAAATCGGTTCAGGTTTGGTTTTTTTTTTTTTTTTTTTTTTTTTCTTTACTCACCAGACAACACCAAAGGCTCCATATCCAATAGGTCTGTCCGGCTCAATATCCAGTTGCTGTTGTGGATGTTGTGAGTGCTGATGATGGTGCGCTTTAACTGCAGCAGCTGCTGCAGCTTGTACCTGAGCTGGGGCTGCTGCAGCTGGTCCAGGGGCCTGACCCGGTGCCGGTGATGGGAAATATGGCTGCTGCTGCCCTGGGTTTAGCATCGCCGCGGCCGCGGCTGCAGCTGCCGCGGCCGCAGCTGCCGAAGAGGCATGCTGCTGTACGGGATGTACCGCAGCTGCAGAGCCTGGATGCAAGTGATGCTGAGGGTGGTGGTGGTGATGGAGGTGAGGAGGAGGGAGGTGAGGAAGGTGGTGGTGATGGTGGTGGTGGTGACCTGCTGCTGCTGCAGACGTACCGCCATTGTAAGCCGCCATCATTTTTGCGTTGGCTGTTGTGCCACAAAGAGACATTCAAAAAAATGCCCTTTGATTGGATAACAACTGGGTCAAGCTGTCATTTGGCCATAAAAATGAAATCTGCTACACTTTAAAAGAAGTTGGGTTTCATCATACACGGCCCACCTTTAAAAACATGGAGCTCAACTGGCCTTATCTCTTCGCGAAGCCAAACAATTTGGAGAATCTCTTCATGTGTGCGTGAGCCAGTGTACGAACCCTCTTCCCCCAAGAGTCCAGCTGTAGTTGGCTACTGAAACTCCATCCTTGGGCAACTGGGTTGGGTTTGGTTTGGGGGTTTTCCTTCACTTTTCTTTTTTTTTTTTTTTTTTTTTTTTTTTTTTTGTAAATAAAAAAGAAATACAATGATCAATCCCCCTTCCCTCCAGAAGGAGGATTTGGAGTCTCTCCTCTGGAATATCCTGAGAGGACTGATGAGTCTACCCCTTCCATTCCCACATCCTCTTCATTTATCTCCTCGAAACCTCCCTGAGCGCCCAGGCACCTCCTACATAGCTCCCTCCTTTCAGACACCTGCTCCCTCAAATATAGCAAAAAAAAAAAAAAAAAAAAAAACCACAAAAAAAAAAAAACTTGGGAGTTTGCAACTTTTCCTTGAAGGCCTGAAACACACACAAGCACCCAGAAAAAGTGAAGAGGGACGGAAGGAGTGAGGAGAAGAGGGCGAGGATAAGGAGGGGGAGGGCAAAAGGGGATGAGGAGATAAAAATAGATGGAGGAAGAGAAAGGGACGGGGCAGAAAACAGCGAAGGAGACGGGGCGAGGAAATTAAAAAAAAAAAAAAGAAAAATGGGAGCGGGGAAAGTGCCAAATGAATGACAGGGGAGAGCGCGGGGCCGGGGGATAAAGGGGCGAGGGGGGAGGCGATGGCGGCGGCGCCCTGACAGGCTGCCCCGGCGCCGGCGGCGGGCAGCGCCTCAGCGGGGGGCGCCGGCGGCTGCGGCCCCGCGGGCGGGGACGGGCCGGGACGGGCCGGGGGAGGGGGGGGGGGGGGGGGGGAATGTGGGTGTGGGGGGGCTCCGCTGCGTGCGTGCGGCAGGCAGAGGTGGAGGGGGGGGACGGTGGACGGGGGGGACGGGGCGGCGGGCTCTCAGGCCCCCGCCGCGCAGCGCCGCTCCGCCCCCCGGCCGCCGCCGCCGCCGCCTCGGCCGCCCGACCCGCCGCCGCCGCCGCCGCCGCCGCCGCCACTCACCTCCTCACGGAGCCCCAGCGCGGAGCGCACAGCGGGCACGCGCACCCGGCCTGCCCTCCCCCCCCCCCCCCCCCCCCCACCAGCACACCAGCCACCCCCCCCCCCGCCTTCCCGCCCGCCCCCATCCAGGGGCGCGCGCCCGGCACCTCGCCCCGCAGCCAATCGGACCCGGCCCACCAGGCTCCGCGAGAGCCGCCCCCACCCAATCACCGCGCGGGGCCCAGCTCGGCCGGCCCATAGGGCTCGGCCGCCGCAGAGACTCCCTGACTCAGTCCCGCCCCCTTTGACCCCCGCCGCCCAATCGCGGCGCGCCTCCGCGCCCAGCGCCAGCGAGACCCCGCGAGATTCCCTCACCTCACACAACCCTCACCTCGGGCGGCCCCGCCTTCTTCACCTCTTCTGCCAATCACGTGGCGCCTCTCCGGCCTGCTGGCCAATCGACTCTCCCCCTTTGCCCACTCCCGCCCCGAAGGCCTGCTTTTTGCCCAATCACCGCCCCCTATCCGATCTGATTAACCAATGAGGACAAACGAAATCCCGAAAAGGGGTTACTGGGCCAATAGGGCTCGGAGGCGAGGCGGCGGCGTGATTGACAGCTCTCTTCACGAATGAGAAGCGGCGATGGGCGTTAAAAGCGCCTTCGTTCTTCAAATCGCAGCGCGAGGCGCCAGGTGACGGACGCGGAAGTGGCCGGTGCGCTCGTCTGCCGGCGGGCAGCTGGCCAATGGGAGGCGGGAAGCCGCTTGACGGGCGGCGGGAGGGGCCAATGGCGCTCCCGGGGCGGGGTGAGGTGAGGACGCGGCGGGGCGCAGGGGTCACTGTGGGCGCTGAGGGGCGGCGGCGGGAAGCGGGGCGGGCACCGGCGGCGGCAGCAGCGCGGTGGGCTCCGTCCCTCTGCCCGCCCCGGGCCCTCGGGCAGCCCGTCCCGTCCCGGGGCGGCGGCGGGGCCCTTAGGGCTGTGCTGGCTCAGCGGTGAGCCCGCTCTCCTCGCCGCCCCGGGCACAGTAAGGGAAGAGGAGCTCGGTTTCCTGAGGTAGAGGTTTTTGCCTCAGTCCTCTTCTCCAGAGGAAGGTGATTGCCAAAGCTGTCTTGCACAAAAGAAGCTTGCCTAACTCGGCTAACGGAAGGGCGAATTTTTTTTTTTAAAGCCGGGGACTGACCTCGAAATGTCTGTGAAATTTGGAATTTTTTTAAGGGATGGCGGTGGGGTTTTGTTTTTTTTTGTTTGTTTGTTTGTTTGTTTGTTTATTTGTTTTGTTTTTTGTTGTGTTCGTTTTCTTTTTGGTTGGTTGGTTTGGGGTTTTTTTTGTTGCTTTTTTGTTTGTTTGTTGGTGGTTTTTGGGGGGGAGGAAGAGGGCGTGGGGGTTACCTTGGGGGTCTTTTCTTCCTTCGATTTGAAGACCAGCAGGTAAAGTTTGAAGGCTTTACCTTACAGACTTGAGGCGACTTGAGGCAATTTGAGGCTGGTGAAAGTGCGGAGCGGTGGCATTGAGGGCCCGAGCCTCGTCAGTAGGGAAGCACGGAGGCACACTATAAGATGAGCTTCCCTCTTCCCCTAGATCAGGAGGGGGAAAAAAAAAAAAAGTAATCAGAGGTTTTAGATCTTTAAAGCTGATAGCTGGTAGCAGATACTATAGCCAATTCTCCACGTCTCTTTTTTTCTGAGTCTTACTGCAGCATGCTTGTTAACATGCTCAGAAGTTGTTTCAAATGTGAAGGACATGTTAGCGTAGGACCAAAATATTTTTTGTGGTTGGATTAGTTCACTTGCCATTAAGCTGCATGCTTGGGGAATGCAGAGTGGTTCTCTAAAGCATAAGTGTCTCCCTAGAACACAGTAATAAAAATATGACAGTTTTAACACTTTCCATTTGCTTGTGTGACTATTAATCATATCTGGTTAATAGTTTTACTTCAGAAAAACTCTTACTTATCAGAGCTTTACCCATGATGGTAGTAGAGTCAAATTAACTGTGATAGTGATAAAGAGGTTCCTTCATATGTTTAAATTGAGCCGTTCCGAAGGAAATAAATGACCAACAGTGAATTTGTACGTGTCTGAGTGAGCTGCTAGCCTTTTCTTCCCTGCATCTGGTTCCTGTTTGAACAGAAGAAGGACTAGCAGAGCTGTAACAGTTCAACTACATTGCTGAAGTTTTACCAACAGATCCCCCATGGTACAGTGTCAAGTACTGTGATCTGTCTTTCCAGTATGTCTATCTTAAAAACTGAACATCACTGGGCTTCTGTACAGCATGGGGGAAAGGAGACCATAAGTGTGAAAGACTGTTGCAATTCTAAAACTTGAGTGCAAAATCTTTTTAAGAATGGGGTTTGGATACTTTTTGTCTGCTCTTGTGAAAAAGAAAAGTCTCAAGTATTTAAAGCAAGTTACTTTATTAAAATTGTTTCTGTTGTATTTTGTAATGTTGTTAGCTAATATTCCAGTCCAGAATTATAGTAGAATTTTGCGATTATGTCACAGGTTTAAGAGCAGAGACTTTACTTTAAAAAAAAAAAAAGTAAAAGCAGATTTGGTTTACATCAGTTTTATAATAATACATACCAGAAGAAGAGACAGAATACTTATTTAGAACTTGTATTTCTAGCTGTCTGTCTGAAGTTTTTATTGAAGTTGATAACAAACTGCTAATGTGAGTATGAATATGGCACGAACCAAGGATTCTTTTGGTACCTGCTTGCCCTCAGGCTCTGGAGAGGTACTGTACGGAGGGACAATGGAAGGAAGTGGATACAAAGCGGGTTGGGTGGGCCTGGGCATAGGGAAGTGCTGTGAAGACTGGAAGGCTTTTAAAACTCTCCCACACGTTTTCATTATGGACTTTTTTCCTTCTCTGTTATTGCAAAACCTGTCCAAGTAGTAAAATCAAGCAATTGCCTAATAATCATTATATGGAAACTTGGTTTCTAAACGTATTTGCAGGTTAATTTCTAAGTGGCATTATTCAAGTCTAATGATAGTGTCCTCTTCATTTTTTTTTTTTCAGTTAGGTACATTATTGAGTTAATTGTACCGCATGTTTTTAAATAATTGATTTTCTGTGGAGTATAATTTTTACTGGTGTATTTGCTGAAAGTCATCTTCAACTACATATTGGGAATAAAAGAGAAGGATGAAATTCTTTATCTTCATGCCACTGAACTGTAGTTGAATTAACGGCTGTAAACAAAATGTTCAGCGATAGGGGAAAAAGTCAAGCTTTTTCTAGCATAAAGTGAAAGTCTTGCAATGATTGCTTATTGAGAAGCGTTCTTACAAATGTGAAGTTTTGGTGACTAATTTAGGAGCCTAATCTCTTTAGGCTCCTTATTGTTAAAGAGTGAAGAGGTATAATGCATTGCACTCTGGAGGAGTCTACTTCAGGTGTATCTGGACATCACCTTAACATTTCTTTCCCCATTGACTACATGGAGCCTTTAGAGAGAAGCTTCTGAACAGCAGTGTTTAATATTAAACAGGGTGGTTTTACTTTTTTTTGTTTGAAGTGGATAGGAAACAATTCAGTCCTAGATCTCCAGTAGCGTATTTTAAAGCTTTGCATAGCCATCTCCCCTGGAGCAGCTTGTGTCCTTGAGAACCTGTTCTTTCAAGTATTGTGCTCATGAAAAGATGGGAATTGGATCCACTTCTCATTAGTGTATAAAGCATCTGTTTATACTTCCTCATGAGCAAAAAAGTTGCCAATTAACCTGAGGGAAGTTCCACCTGAAGCTTATGCTTTTTTTTATCCTTACTAATTTAAGGAAGGATCAACACAATGGGGATTGTATTCAGCATCTTTGCTGTAGTTGAGGATGTCACATATGTGCAGCTCTCCATTGCAAGTATCACATGACATACTACAATATCATGATCATTGCCTGTTTTTATGAAAAACAGACTTATTTCAAAAACTTTACCAATGGTACTATTTTTTTAGAAAGTTTTATATAGTTTACTGATTATCATCAAACACCAACAATCTCAAGTTTTTGGATAGAAGTTATCTTTAGTAAATCTGAAAGGAAAAATAAGTGATAGGTTCCATCACCTCAGCCTTCAGTCTGACTGCTTATTTATGTATTGCCACCAGGTGATCTGGGGCAGCTCCTAGGGGTCCACTGTTTGGTGAGCAGGGTTAGTTGCCTGAATCAGAACCCTACATCCAGCACAAAGAGCTTCTCCGCACAGACCTTTGTCTAAAGTTACTGATTTCCTATTTGTCATACAACGTTTTTGTTAGCTTTAGTGAATCACATCCATGGTGACTTCATTTCTGCTGTACATGAGTAAATAAGTGTCTTCTCTTAGAAATACTCTAAAAATGTCTTAGACACTGTCATGTAGATGAATTTTCAGCAGTGGGAGCAAAAGAAATGAACTAGGTTGCAGTCCTGGCATTGTCACTAGTTTTCCTGACCGCTCTTGACTGGGCTACTACAAACAGTGCTTTCCAATTTCAATGTCTGTAAAGTATAACTGAAGTCTGAGACACACATTATTTTAGTTTGGCTAAATGCTACAACCATATTGCCCATCTTTTATTTGCCCTTTGAAGTTAAACCAGCTCTTACCAATGAGGTGAGAGACTGGTGAGATGGCAGCTGAAGAGATAAGTTATCTTACATGTCCATATGGAGTTATATCAGATGCCAGTGTTGAATGACCCACCCTAACAAGTGTACTTTCCTTCTACACTGGGTTTATAAACACTTTTAATTGGTATTCCTGGCCTCTGTCATGCTGTGTAACTTAAGACTGTCGGTTCAGCTACTTTTTAGGCACTTCATGCTATGAAAGTTAAGGAGCACAAGATCCAGTTGATTCATGCAGAGGTATGTTTAAGGAAAAAAGCCTTTTAAAAGAATATTATGGAAACATGAAACCTGCAAAGTGCTTAACTTTTAATAGACCCTTTGTTTCTTCAGTACAAGTCTGTTACTTGAATGTGTTACCTATTAGTTATATGAATCACTCCTACTTAGAATAAAGCTGCAGAGTGAATTAATCGTGTACTACTCTAAGTCAGTGCTTCCTTGTTATTTAATGCCTCTGTATAGGTAGCATAAGTCTGCTGAGGGGGAGCTCAGTACAGAGCTGGCTCATAATTTTGAGCAACAGTGTTTTGTGAGTAGTTCAATGAGCTCGAGCTGCTTGATGAGTGAGTTGGCAAAATCTAACCATAGTAATTTGAACTGGGCAGGTAGAGACACTGCTCTAGATCCTGCCAAAGCCCAGTTTGATTGCAACTAATTTGTCATCCCCAGTGATGCATGGAGAAATGCGATTGGTGACTACTGCTGATGAAACATGACAGATCAATTCTAATCTCTTACTGGTGAAGGCATTTATTCATGGGGACATGCATCTGTCTCTTACTATTTTATTCACAGTGAGAGTGCTGTAAAGCAGTTGCAAGTCTGCTCTTTAGGTATCAAACACTGAATGCTATTATATTTAGATTTGTCATGTGCTCTTTGCTAAACTCTTTTTTAAACTACATATAAAAGTAAATACCATGCATTAGAAACACAGGGCACAGACTTGTTCCTTTTTGTACATTTACTGTATCAAGTTTAGTCTTTTCTGACTGGAGAGATTTATTTTCCTCTTGGATTTGCCACTTGCTTTGCAGGGGTATAATCTTTTTGACAGCACTCTGCATAAGGGCAAGGGATGGAAGGCAATTTGTAATCAGACAGTTCTATTTCTCTGCTCCTTCAGCAGTGTTTTAAACTTAAAATTCTCCACAAAAGATTGTATCTCATTGCACAGTGTAAAATGGTATGGTCCAGTTGCAGACATAGGCTTTGTGGGGTTTTTTCTTGTTTCACAAGAACTAGCTGTGAAAACAAGACTCTGAATATTAGAATAAGTCTTTTGATTTCATGGCTGAGTATTGTGCATAAATGTCCTTCAGCAATTATGCATGTAGGGGGTTTTGTGACCCTTTAATGCAGAAAAAGTATCATTAAGTGGAACAAAGCATAATAAAATGCTTGCACAGATTTCTCTCTGATTCACAAAAGGGGTACTTTGAGCTGCCCTATTGATAATTTATCATGTGGGT